CGATTTCACAACATCTCGAACCTCGTAACATCCTCGCATCTTTTTGACAAGGCGATGTTGCGAAGTGTTCGCACCGCGTCAGGCTCGCATGTTAAGAGCTACGAGACAGTGCGAGATAGATGAACCTGTCGTGAGCCACGCTCGTCACATGATGAGACCTTGATGTCGTAACATACAGGGAGTTTATACTACCCCAGATGAACTTGAACAAAAAAAGCAAAAAAAAATCCCACCCACCATCAGCTACCGAATACCAATCATTGTTGGTGAATCTGAACATAATGATTCGATTCGAAGATCGGTCCGCCAAAATTAATTGATTGCGATCAGGATCAGCTTCCACCGCAGTGATACCTCTGCAGTTCAGTCAATACATATAGACTCTATTGGGACAAAAGCTATGCAGGAATACTAAAATACCTAGGAATATCTGGATATCTAAGCGTTCTTCTGGGTACTGTAGTGTTTGGTGATATACTAACGAAATCAATGACGCCACCATACGAATACGATATAAAGGATGGTTTTGCTGGAAAATTCAGTATTTCAGCCATCACTTGGGTCTTTCTTGTTCAGTTAACAGTACTTACATATGCAGGATCCATTCGGCTGTAGCAGAGCATAAGCGCAAAGGCAACGAGGAACACCTTGAGGGGTAGAAATGCAAAGATGCTCGCATCCACCGTTGTTTTGAGCGCATGCGTTTGTAACTGCTGAAGAAGACAACTTGTAGTGGAGAAGTTAAATCAAAAAATTAAACATTGAACTACCTTTAGACTTCTTCTTGTACAGAGAGGTAGCGCGGAATCGTAAAGTTGTCGTTGTATTGTAGGAGATGACTTCAGTGAAATTTCCGCTTGTCTCTCGTTTATACTCTGTCACCAACAGAATATTTGAAGTGGAAACTTTTCTAAAAAATTTCGTTGGGAATAAATTGACATCATTCGCGCCAATCATGAACATCTTTTGCGTACCTTTGCACGATATACAATTTTTCGCTGCCTATCGCCATTTCAGACTGTACCGCATCCACCACAGGGAAAAACGCCACCACCTGAAAGCTGCTTTTGAGTAGCGTAGGAATAGAACATATCTACAAATTGCTAACCTGATTATTAGTCTCATCATAGTTTACACATCGTACATCGCCAGACTCTTCAAGGTAACATAATCGTGACATTAATGTATCCAACATAAATTGACTTGTGGTAACATTTACTAGGCAGGATACATTTGTTCCATCGTAATTAGCCATTTTGATGCAACCTCGGGACCAAAAGATAAGCCTAGATATAGAATGCGGGTGATAAGTATTTTTTAGGCCATCTATACTCAGAGCAGAGAGAATTAGATTGAAAAAGACGAAGCGAAGGAGGATTTGGTGAAAGCAGGCGACAGCGAGCGATAAGGAGCGACTGTCAGCGATAAAAGCAAATTCATACGCTCCGCAAGTAGTAGATAGTGGAATTGATGAAGTTGCAGGAACAGGAAAGATTTAGCCAAAGGTTAAGCAAGAAGGCACCATTTTTTGGAAGCGATAATGAGCGACAATGAGCGAAAAAAGAGTACAGGTAGCACGTGTTGATAACAAATGTCCAAATGGAAGGTCACTTGGGAATCACGTTAAAA